CATCAAAATTATGCTGTCCTAAAGAGCACATTTGCTAAAGAAGAGAAAAAATTGAGATCATCGTTGCTAGAAAAATCTCTGCAGTTCCCAAAAATTGATAATTTTTTGAAATTTGTTTACGGAGAAAAGGAAATCACACTCTTACATAGAAGAACTCCAAATGCTGCCAACCAATGTTAAACATCTAGTAGAACGGATTTAAAAAAACTCACGTTGGTTGTTTAACCTTCTCCTCCTCTTCAAGCAATCGTGCTAGACCTTTAGATGATTCATTGAAAGGGTCAAAACCAAGATCATCATCTGATGTGAATCCTCCAAGACCTTGAAAATTTCCGATCATGACATACACTGACCAGAAAAAGATACTTCCAATTTACCTGGTGGCGGTGTAGTGACTAGTGACTTTTGTGGAGTCATTTGTGGATGTAATGTTGGAGAAGTATACGATGTCGTTGTGTTATTTGGTGTGGTTTGCGGTGACAAACCCAGTAACGTTTGCCAATTGACTAGAGGCGCCGGCGCCTCACTAACAGGAGCAGGTGCTGGGATCATGCCTGCCCCGCTGTCTTCGTTTCCGCATAATAACCTGTAAAACATAATGTGAAGTCATATGATAAGATGTGAAGTTCCAAAATGATACCGTAATAACTTTGACTCTGTATCTTGATTATATATAGAGTTAAACGGCTTAGACTGCTCCGCTGGTTTCGAAGGTGGTTTAGTTTCGGAAACTGTAGGACGCTCTGGTGATTTGTAATCCTTAAACGAATTTCACTTTCTTCTCATATATAAGAGGAGTCAAAACACCTTGCAAAATGACTGCTCCAAAAATTGCAGATAGACTAAATAACAGCCACAACTTTTGAGTTTTCAAAAAAAGACTCAAAAAAACTTACAAGTGAGGGTGGCGTAGGTTCCCGAGGTGGCGAAGATGGTGGAGGCGTCGCCACTGCTGGTGTACTTGTTGATGGTGGCGGTGGAGTAGTCTGTTTAACCTTGCCACGTTTCGGTATGTTCTCTTTGTCTTGCGAAGACTGCCGTTCCCGTGATCCAAATGCTTCTGACGGTGTAGGATCACCAGATGGTGACTGAAATACAATAATAATCTCTAAAATTTTAGCCCAGTTTCTATTTGATAGTGTTTCCCGTAAGAAATAATTATATCGCCTCAGTTACTATGTTAAGTATTAAGTAACTAGTAAGTATTATATTATAAT